TAGAGAAGCTAATAGCTAAATCTGGTGCTAAAGTAGTGAATTGCACCGTTGCTGAAGTCGTACATGACTGTGAAGTTTGCCAGAGGTTCGGACGAGCTACTCCGAAGCCAAGTGTGTCTTATCCTATCAGTATGGAATGGAATAATACTGTGGCTATGGATTTGCACGAGATGGCCCAGTCGGGACACACTTTGTGGTATTTACACGTGATTGACTTGTTTAGTCGTGTTAGTGCAGCTGTGTTCATTACAAACAAAAGACCGAGTACAATTATTGAAGGTTTTCTTCGTTGTTGGTGCTTGGTTTACGGATATCCGAAAGCTGTTTTAACTGATAATGGTGGTGAGTTTGACAATGCTGATTTTCAATCATTTGCTCAAAATAATGATATTATCGTGAAGACTACGGCAGCTTTTTCACCCTGGTCCAACGGCGTTGTTGAGCGGCACAACGCAGTTCTTACAGACATGCTGGAGAAATTACTGGCCGATGAATCAGTTTCTTTGAGTAAAGATATTGTTTTACAGCATGCCGTTTTTGCTAAAAATAGCTTGGCTAACAACGATGGCTTCTCACCGTTTCAAGTCGCGTTTGGTTTTGGACCGCATGTCCCATCTGTTCTTACCAATAAACTGCCAGCTTTGGAATGCGAGACCACTTGCGAAGTTGTAGCGCAAAACTTGAATGCGTTGCATAAGTCTAGATAATTATTTATCGAAGCTGATTGCAGTAATCGCATCAGACGGGCTCTCAAAGCCAAAGTAGTGACTGACAAAGGGCCATTTGTTACTGGGAATAGCGTGTTTTATAAAAGGGACGGAGAACTGAAATGGCGAGACCTGCAAAAGTTATCGGTCAAGAAAGTAGTGTTGTTTTTGTGCGACATGGTGGCCGTGTTGTAAAAGTACACACTTCGCGATTGAAACGATGTGCAGATCAGTTTCAACAGATGTCAGAAGCAGAAGCTGGATTCGAGGAGAAAAAGGAAGTTTTTGGCGACAGTGGTTCAACAGACGCTGATCGCCAGGTTGTTGTTGATGAAACTGATGATGAAGGCGAAAATACAGCTACAATTGAACCTGGTATCGAAAAAGGACTCCGTATTGATGTACCAGGCGATACAGCAGTTAATTGTGTTCCAAACGACGTTGCTGAGACTATTTCTGAGGATTTATCACGAGAGTGCTTGAAACCTGCCGCTGGTCGACGGATTCGTTTTGTTTCACGCCAATCTGGGTTTGAAGGAGAAGAAATTGAAGCGATTGTCAAAAGCAGAGGAGGAAAGTCGACAGGTGTTCATAAAGACTGGTGGAATATTGTTTATGAATCTCCCAAAGAAATTAAAGGGAATTTGGATTGCGTTGATGTGTCAAAACTGGAGGATGTAGAAGTCAGTGCTCTGAACGCGACTGCAGATGCCTATTTTGAAGCGAAAATGGATGAAATGAAGAGTTGGAAGAAAAACGAAGTATTTGAGGAAGTTATCGACGAAGGGCAAGAATATCTGTCCTGCAAGTGGGTGCTCACTCAGAAGCCAGATAGAAAGAAAGCACGACTCGTAGTTAGGGGTTTTGAAGATCCAGATCTTCATAACGTCATAAAGGATTCTCCGACTTGCTCCAAAGATACTTTCAGGATAGTAGTATCACTCTGTGCCTCCAAGGCGTGGAAATGTAATTCGATGGATATAAGAACGGCGTTTTTACAAGGAAAACCTCTTACCCGTGATGTATATGTTATGCCACCGCCGGAAGTTGGATTATCGGGGAAACTCTGGAAATTACGAAAATGCGTTTACGGGCTTGTTGACGCGGCTCGACACTGGTATGATAAAGTTAAAGACGAAGTATTGGCCACAGGATGCTGTGTTTCAGAGTTTGATCCGTGTTTGTTTTACAAGAAAAATCAAGCGGGTGAAATAGTTGGACTGTTAACTACCCATGTTGACGATTTTTTGTGGGCTGGCACCGAACAGTTTGAATATTCTGTGATGAAGTCGCTTGACGTGGTTTTCGACATCAGATCGACAGAGACAGCTCCATTTCGTTATCTTGGGTTTGACTTATCGCAAACGGAAAGAGGAATTAAACTGGACTTATCCTCGTATGTAGAAGAATTGCGGGAGATTATTGTGCCAAAACATGATTTTGTGGTCAACAAGTTTGCTAGGCGTGATATGCGTGCTATTCTGGGGAAGTTACAATGGGTCGCATCACAGGTTCGTCCTGATGTGTCTTTTCAAGTATGTCAATTGCTTGGTTCGTCCAAAGATTGGCAGCGCTCACATTTCTTAGCTGTCAATAAAATTGTGAGAAAATTGAGGTATTCTGCATCTGATTCATATTTGATGTTCGAGAATCTTGGAAGTGCAGATGAGTGGAAACTGAACGTTTTTACCGATTCTTCTCTTGGAAATTTGCCTTGTGGTGGCACCCAGTCCGGTTATTTGGTCTTTTTACAGGCGTCTGACAAAAGACCTGCCCTTTTGAGCTGGAAGTCTCAGAAACTGAGACGTGTTGTCAGGAGCACTTTATGCGGAGAAACAATTTCTTGTGTAAATGCAGTTGATGCTGCATTTCTTTGTCAAAAGATTATTTCTGAGTTAACGGGGGAAAATGTCAATATTCGAACATATACGGATAATCTTTCTTTAGTGCAAAACGTTTTCTCAACGAAAGTTCAGAAAGACAAGAGACTGAGAGTGGATATAGCGTATTTGCGTTCTTTGATCAATGATGGAATTCTACACCAGTTAAAATGGGTTCCTACAGACGAGGAATTGGCAGATTGCCTAACAAAGTTATCTCCAAAGTCGTCGGAAAGTTTGCAACAATTTATGTTGGGCCAGAAAAGTATTTAGTTATATCGAGTGACTGCTCATGATAATATTTTTCTTGCCACCAGAAAGTCTCCGTATAGCACTTGTTATTCCTTTCTTGAGTTATTTTCATTACTCTCTTTTTGTTCACAGCTGGATAATTCGTTACTGGACAACTATTCCAATATTCAGTAATCCATTCGCCGATCATTGATGATCCATGCGAACTCAATAAGAAAGTCTGGGGAATATGTGACAGTATGTTAACTCTGTTGTTGTATTTCAGTGATATGTGTCCGGTGGGGTTTTAATTAAAGTTCTACAAACCAGTGTTTTACAGTAATAACGTCGTTATTACTTCCAATTCGTGGCACGGGAGGGTACTGCTTTCCACTACTTCCCCACTGAAGCCTCCCTTCTCGCTAATTCCTTCCGCTAAGTGTCTTATCGTGCGTGATCGTCACGATAAGAGGCTTCGTTTTTATATCGTTATCGTCCAACTGTTTCTCACTATTTTTGCTGTTGTTCTGATTTTCGTCACTTTTTTGGCTCAAAATGGCGGTTTTTCGTATTTCTCAGAAACATTCGTTCGTCAATCGAAATTTTGAAAATTTAAAATTACCGAATATTCTGACCCTCCTTTGCTGTACTTTTCAACCATTAAGGCCTCTACTTCAATGTCCGTGTTGCGTGGGAAGGTTGCGCTGTGCCAGTCTGGCAGAATGCCACACAGGTAAATTTATTATAAGGATATTTAAGAAATAAAAAAGTACAACATACCGTTAGGGGATCTGGACATCATCTATCTTTTATATATTTAAATCCTGGCTTCCCTTTCTCGCCATGGTTAGGCTTTTTCAACGTATTTTTTGCATGTTAAAAAAAGAATTTTTGCACGCTTAAGCTATATCGTTTATTGCAATGGTTAAGAATTTATTCAGGTTTTCCAGTTTGAATTTAGTGATTGTCTTACCGAGTTTAAAATAAACAACGTAATAGTGGGATGCTTTCAGGTTTCCCCCAGGGGTTGCAAAATTGGCCACGAATTATGAATGCCTAAATCCATACGACGATTTTTGTGATTTTTCCAAAACTTTTACAAAGTAATTCACAAAATTTCAAATTCCCAACCCTGTAGTTAGGTGCTATCAGAGTACCCGCAAGGGTTGCAATTCTTGCCTTCAAATATGACTGCTCAAAACCTTGTAGTTGTCGAGATATGATGAGTTTAATGATTTTTCAGAAAACATAGATTTTAAAAACTTCAAAAGATTTGAATTTCTCAATCTTGTAGTTGAATACTGTAAGGGTTCTCTCAGGAGTTCCATGCTGCAAATTTTGCGTCCAAATGCGATTGCTCAAATGCTTTTAGTTTTCGAGATGTGACGTTTGTTGTCTTTTTTTTTTAAATGTTCACAGAGTTTTGATATAAGAAATTTCTTAAAATTTGAAGTTCCAATCTCTAAATCGAGGCTTTGTCAGGGCAATCCTTGGGGTTGCAAGTTTTTCATTCAAATATTGCTGCTTAAATCCTTGTAGTTTCGAAATTTGACGTTTTTTGTTATATTTTTCAAAAAGTTTTCAGAAAACTAAAATTTATTTTTTTTTTTCAAAATTTTTGAATTTCTAACTCTGTAGTTGGCGGCTGTCAGAGTACTATCTGGGGTTGCGAATGTTGCCTCCAAATATGATTGCTCAAATTTTTGTACTTTTTGAGATATGACATTTTTTGTTATTTTTTTCAAAAAAGTTTTCAGAAAACTGAAATTTGAATTTTTTCAAATCTTTTGAATTTCTAACCCTGTAGTTGGGGGCTGTCAGAGTGCTCTCAGGGGTAAAATTTTGCCTTCAAATATGACTGTTCAAATAGTTGTAGTTTTCTAGACATGATGTTTTTTGTGATTTTTCAAAAAAAAAATTTAGAAAACCTTAATTTAATTTTGTTTTCAAAGTTTGGAATTTCTAACTTCAATTTACGGCAATTACGAAGTTTTTCGAAATTTGAAGTTCCCAACCCTGTATTTGGGTGCTGTCAGAGTACACTCAAAGGATGCAGCTATTATTTCCAATGTATGCGGTTTTAATGATTTGTCATAAATTTGAAGCACCGGAGGTGCGTTACATGCTAGTTATCATTTACTTATAAGTAAAGTTTATGCCGTATTCGATTGTCGTCAAACATTCCATCTCACAATTTAATGCTTTGTGTTCTCATTTTAGAGCTTATGTATTCAGATTATTCAATAGATGAATAGCGTTGTGATGACTCTTAAAGCTCATTAATATTACGCACAATAGACAAAAAATTGTGTCAAATTAAATTTTATCGCTTGATGGCAAATTTGTCTGTTATTTTGAGTGTGTCCGAAGTTAAAGCTTGTTTATTTGCTATTGTGTTTCCTGTTTTAATCACAATCAAGATTGGATTGGTATGAGCACAATCATTTGTTTGGCCGCAAAGTTGTGAAGAACACTTGCTTATGCTCATTTATAAACTAAATAATTAGAACGCATTGTTTTTGCTAGAGGTTTGGACTTGATTCAGTTAAAATAGTTTGAGCTTAGACATAGTTACCTGACATTAAAATGCCTGGCGAAGAAGAAAAAGAGTACAAAATTGTTAAAGATGACTCTGGAAAATACGTGTCCTATAAGGTATACGTGAGGCGAGACCAAAACGATGCATGGTTTGTTCTTCGTAGGTACAAGGAATTCCGATATCTCTACGACGAATTGGTGAAGCAATATCCTCAAGCCAAACTGAAAATCCCTCCCAAGAAGATTTTCTTCAATTTTTCTCAGTCAACGATCAACGAAAGGATAACTGGTTTGAATAACTTAGTTACACAAATTCTTTCCGATCAGGAAGTTGCAAAAGAAGCGAATGTTCGAGAGTTTTTGCAAATTGACGCTAATCAGCCTCTACAGCCTGGAGAACATCCGAATGCAGAGGAACCACCAGTTGTAGACCCCGATGCTGATTTATATGCTGAGAAACTGGGAGCTACATACAGCCGAAAATACAAACCATCAGATTTTAACTTCAATAAAACGATTGGCAAAGGTAGTTTCGGCAAAGTTTATCTGGCTACCATGAAAGAAACTGGCGAAGTATTTGCAATCAAGGTGACTATGATAGTTATCTTTGGGATAAATTGTTCACGAATGCTCTTGTGAGGAAAAAGCTATTAATATTTCGATTTCCCTGTAAATTGTCATTTTTTTGTTGGGTTACATTTTCAAAAAGAAATTTATAGACATGAAATTCTTTCAGGCTTGAGCAAGAAGTTTGTTTTCCACTCTATTGCATAAGCTTACGTTTTTTATTATAGTTTGCCGCAATTCAATGAAATACAGTTCATACGGGAAGACTATTTTTATTGTGATTAGAATTTCTTAATTATAATTCAGCAAGGTTTGCAGTATTGATTAATGATCTTATCGTCTGAATTTTTCAATGATATCTCAAATTATGTTGAGCGAGTTGATAAGGTTCTTTCACAAAATATTACCCTTCACAATTTGTGTTCAAAACAAACATATGTGAGGTCAAAACATTTTCTGCCAGTTGCACAGCATCCATATACCCTTGTTTTTATTATGCCTATATAAGTTTGGCGTCATCATATTTAAATTTAGGTGCTGATGAAGAATAAACTGAAAAGTGACAAGGAACGAAAGCATCTGATGAGTGAGAAAAATGTGTTGCTGAACAACTTGAAGCATCCCTTTTTGGTTGCCCTTCACTACTCGTTCCAAACTCCGAACAAATTGTACTTCGTGCTCGACTATGTCAATGGCGGAGAGCTGTTCTTCCATCTTCAGAAGGAAAGGCGCTTCTCGGAGAACAGGGCCAGATTCTACGCCGCTGAAATTGCATGTGCTCTTGGCTATTTGCACTCTAGATATGTCATATACAGGTAATATTGATAACAATTCAGACGATTTGTGGCAATTTTCCGAAAAGTTTTTACATGTATGGGGCTCAAAAGTTGTAGAAGACATTTCTATTGCGAATCATATTTATTTTAGAGACTTGAAGCCAGAAAATCTTTTACTGGACCGATACGGACACATTGTCATTACTGATTTTGGACTGGCGAAGGAACAAATGGACCAAGCTGAAGGCCACTGCACCAGGACATTCTGTGGAACCCCGGAGTACCTGGCGCCCGAAGTTTTGTTGAAGCAGCCGTACACCTATACTCTGGACTGGTGGTGCCTAGGTAGTGTGCTGTATGAAATGATATTCGGAGCGCCGCCTTTCTATGACAGGTTAGATAGAACTCATTACCCCCTAGTCTGGCCGAACTGTATAATTAATCTTGTTTAAACAACCAAAGCTGCTTCGATTAGTCAAGCGAACTAGAGAATTGGCTATTTCATAACAATTGTGTGGGTGTAGTAGAACTTCGTACACCTACGAACCGTTCTGGAAGAGCTCTTCTAATGCTGTATTCAAAAGTCTCTCTAAACGTATATTTATAGAACTAACGTCTGTTTTCTTGTATCTGATCAGAATACATCGTTAAAGACACCCACGTTTTTTGAAGTAAAATTATCTGAAAAATGTATTATGGTAAATTTCATTATCTTGATATCATTATTAAAGCGTGTAAATAACTTCCCTTTGCAGAGTAGCTGAGCATAAACAGAGCGCAATATCATCTACAATGCATCTTGTTATTATAACCCCGTGAACTTTTATTCCATGACATTGAGAATTGCGAAAGTTCTGAATCGAGGATTCGTTGTTAGGCCAGAACGGGCGTCTCCGTTACATTATATCTCTTAAATAATTTTGAAATTTTTCTCCAGTCCAAAACAAAAATTCGTTAATAAAAGTACATGTCGCAATATGTGTGCAATTAATTGCCCGCTGGTAAATGATTTGCAAAAGTTTCCCATCGTTTAATTGATTGGTTGTTAGCTAATTTAGTGCACGTACGCGGCGAAATTAAATTGTCATGGTGTTCGGCAAATAAGATGACAGCTCGTTAGACGGCAACCGCTTTTGATGGGACTTCAGACGACGCTACTCACAAAATCCTCAATAGTATTTCTCAGAAAAGTAAACCGCTTAAATTCGACCAGCTTACTTAACATGTTTGAACGCTCATTTGTCGTCTTAATGAATTGTCATCTTTACACCTGGCACTATGTTTTATTACAAGTCGGCTTGCAAGTATTGTGTTGTAATACAAGACCTTAATTTTTTCTAATCCAAAACACGAATAAAAGTGCGCTTTTGGTGGCATTTTTGCTGTATAGTTTTGGGTGCTCGATTGCGTCGACTTAGTTACATAATGTTACATTGCTTGAAATAAGAGTAGCTTTTCTATTTTGGCGCTTTCAAAATTTTTTATGACAACAATTTTTTTTTCGGCTTAGCTGCCGCTTGATAATTTTACTGAATGTTTATTTAACTCTTGAGATTGTGTTTTCTCGGCACGCTTTCTTTAATTTGAAATTTATTCGAAACAAATGTATGACGGTTTTGTAGATCTAGTTTTTTTGACAGTTTTTAAGAGTCGATGACTTATATATAGGTCATGATGATTTTTTTCCAGAAGAGGTCTGAAATTTTGATCAGGCTCAATCATACTTCTTCGCGGTTTGACTCAAGTTCATTTCAAGTTCATTAAATGAACTTGAGTTTTTCAAGTTCATTTCAATTTCTTTGTTCAAAGGAAGGCAACTCTAATGCCCGTCTTCTTTCAAGTTCATTTCAATTCCTTTTTTCAAAGGAAGGCAACTCTATTGAGCAGTGTAAAGGTCACAAGAAACGTGATCGACTTCTAATTTCGAAAATAGAATTGAATTTTCTGATTTGCAAGCGAAATAAAAAATTTAGTTATTGATCCAGTTCATTCAAATTGGGTTAATTTTATCAAAAAAGTGTCAATTTTCGTTGAGTATTACAGAAGTTCCAAGAGCTTTAAGACTTTAAATTTCAAGTCAATACTTTTTGCTCTTTACATGCGTTCATTGACTCTTTTCCAACCCTGTTGGTTATGTTTTATTGCATTAGTCTCATTTTTGTGGTATCGCAGGTGATTTTAAGATCGGCTTCGCCTCTGTGTGTAATAATTTACCCGAAGATATATTACATCTGATTACCAACTTGGTTTGTTCCCCTACTCGCAATTGAACCTTTCGTCAAGCTGATTATATCAGATCCGGTTTATCACATGAGGTTTTGAACTAAACTGATTCGTAGATGTGAATAATGCAGTTGCTGTATTTTGCTATTAATAGTCGAGGAAGGTAGTTTAGACTCTTATATAGGTTGTGATGCTTTTCGTTTTTTTTTGTTGTTTTTTGTTCAGGAAAAATCTTAAATTTTATTCTGGCTCAAACTTAATAATTCGCGGTTTGACTTTCGATTTTTTAAGTTCAGCTCATTTCTTTTGTTGAAATGGAATCTTAATTCAGATTTCCAAGTGAAATAAAAAAAATGACCTATTGATCCAGCTTTTTTGAAGTTGGGTTAATTATAGCGAAAAAGTGTCAATCATAATTTGATCTAGATTTTCAATTAAATTTAAGGGCGTCTTTTTTTTTCCTTGAATTTCGAAATTTGAGATTTTTCAAAAATTAAGTCAATTTTTAATGCTTAATTGCGCTCATTGACTCTTCTCCAATTGTCTGTAGGCTATGTTTTATATCTAAAATGAATTGTTGTATGTATTTTGTACCGCAGCTTCGCCTGTGTTAATTGATTGATACCTGAAATACTTGAATGGAAATTGTTCCAATTAGTGACCCGTGGTATAAAACAAATTTTTTTCGCTATCTTGCATCATTTGAACGTAAGGTAATTCAACATGCGCTAGCTTGTGTTCCTATTTAGCCTTGAGATAAGCAAGGGTATTTATTGCAATCAGTTTCTTCATTTTTTTTTACCGTTAGCAACTTCGTCCTGATGGTACCTTAGTTCATAGTGAATTCAAATTTTGTACCAGCTCGATCACTGCAGCTGTTTTTAGCCTTTTATAAATCCGGCCGAATCGAAATTTGCTTTTCACATTGGTATGGTTCACATCTTTTCGGTATGAAGGGTTTCTGCTCAGATTTTTTTTTGGCTATGTTACCGTTTGGTTATTATAAACTCAAATACGATCACCCATCTGGCGCAGAGGTAAAACAACTGCTTCAGGCGGCAAAGGCTTGCGGTTCGAATCCGGCAGGGCCCTTTTTAAAAAAAATTAAACTAGAATTTTTGTGCTTTTTCGGACTATCGTCCGTCTGTCCATTTTTGTCGGCTCAGTTCCCGTAGCCCGATGGTTCAGCTTTATTGCAAGTTGCTGTAACCCCCATACTTGAGACTACAAAGCTCGGGAGTTCGATTCCTGTTTGGACCTGTTTTTCTTGCACATAGAAATTTTTGGCTAATTTAGATTGTCTGTCTGCTTATTTTTGTCTACTCAGTTCCGCAGAGAGGATATTTTAAGAAAATTTGGCTTATGTATAGCATTCTCAAAGCTCCTTGTAGAGTTTGTAATGGTGCATGCAATTTTGTTTCAGATAATTTGGACTTTTGTTGCAGTTTTTTTTCGACAAATTTTTTTTTTTTTTTTAATTTTAATCATAGTCATTCATGTGTATCGCAAGTGGTGCGAAGCTTAGCTTAGCCTCTTTGTCAAATCACTGCCGCTTAATCATTCTCGCTCAACCTTTACCATCCATTGCGGCTAGAAATTATCTTGCGGATTGGAGATATGAGCATTGGACAGTTACAGGGACCACTCTAGAATGTACCACGCAATCAAGCACCAACAGCCCAAATTGAGCAAAAGCAAATCTGGAATCTGGCTGTCCGAAGAGGGGAAATTGGTTCTGAAACAGCTGATGAACAAAAACCCGAATGAACGTCTAGGAGCCCACGGAGGCGTGAACGAGGTGGAGAAACATCCCTTTTTCGCACCATACGAGTTCTCAGCTTTAGAGAGCAAACTCTTGAAACCGCCGTTTATTCCGAAAGTTAGCTCAGTCTACGACTGCTCAAATGTGGACAAGATTTTTATCGAGTCGCCAGTGGGAAAATCAGTGGACTTGAATGCATCAATGATGGCGAACGTGTCATCTGCTAATACTGGCAATTCATTCCAAGCCTTTTCTTATGTTCGACCGATGATAAAATGAAGATCAAAAATCACAAAGAATAACAACTCTCATTTCGTGATTAGAAGAAAATCTAGAATAACCATCGATTTAAAGCATAGAAAAATAACCATGTCCTTTTCTTATCGTTTTCAATTAGTTATATACGTGCAGCAATAAAATTTACTTTAGGTATATACCTTGAATTACCTTTTGTAGGGAATGGTTTCTGATTATCTAAAAACCTTTAAAAGCTCAAGAGCTGTTAAAAATATACAGACAGTATTCACTAATAGTCGAACAGAACAGTCAAATAATGGCACTTGGTGGTTTAAATTGTCTGTAAAAATCAACCAATCAGTGCTTCTTTTCCTATAATTGCACCGAGCGAAATAAACATTTAATAAAAAGCTGTTCATTCCTAACTAAAAATACTCAAAAGGCATCAAAGTTTCAGCTAAAGAAATATAGTGAGAGCTGACAAAGTTTGCTTGAAAACACTCGATTGCTGCTAGAACTCGTGTCTTCTTCAACAATTTGCTTTTTTTTTGTTCCCTAAGTTAACAGAAATCGACAACGATCTTTTTCTCACGCTGAATATTTTCTGGCTTAAAAAAAAACAGATCCCAGCCGGATTCAAACCCGCGGACCTTTGTTTTCATGGGCACGTGCGTTAAACCTCTTTGCTATATGCGCGGATTTACGCTTTGATTTTGATTTTATATGTAGCGAAGTGTCGATCTATACAAATGAAATTTGTAAAACTATTTGTTTATATAAATAGAAGTATATATTTCGATTTAAAAAACGCTTGCTAATTTGCTTTAATACAGCTTTAATATAAGACTTACTTGGAATCACAAGATAGCATCTCAGCCAAAAAAAATTTGCCAATGCCACTTGTTGAGACCACTATGCGGTTAACAGAAGACCACTTCGGTTGACAGAAACCACTTCGGTTAACAGAAAAGTTAACTGAAATTTCAATAACCGGCTAAACAAGTTCAGCCATCGGTTTTTAGATAACTATATTCAAGCTAATAGTGACCTGACAAGTAAGCTGAATTTTTAGTTAGAGTATAATTAATCTGATTTTTTTTGCCTCCTCCAATGTTTTTCGACAGCGTTTTTTTTTGCAGAATTTTGGTTCAGGTAAAGCTCTTATTTATATTTCTGCCAAACGGTAAGACTTTTCATCTTCCATCTTTTGTGAGCTAGTTGGGCTCATTTCAAGTTTTTCTTTCCCCCTATCTACAATTGTATCTTAAAACCGTTTTGAATCTCGCTCTGAGACGACTGAAAACTTAATCTAGTCTTACGGCGCTCCTTCAAGGGACGTTTTTAAAAAAGAATTCCTAATTTGTAATTCGTTTTCGTAATGACTTCTTGGAAACAATTTATTATGATTGTTATTTTTTAACGGGATTGCCGCATAGTGGTCTCAACAAGTGGCACTGGCAAAAAATTTTGGCTGAGATGTTATCTTGTGATTCCAAGGAAGTCTTATATTAAAGCTGTAATAAAGCAATTTAGCAATCGTTTTCAAACTGAAATATATACTTTTATTTAGTTCAACAACTAGTTTTACAAAAGTAATTTGTATAGATCGACACTTCGATACATATAAAGTCAAAATCAAAGCGTTAATCCGCGCATATGGCGTAGAGGTTTGACGCACGTGCCCATGAAAACAAAGGTCCGCGGGTTTTAATCCGGCTGGGATCTGTTTTTTTAGCCAGAAAATATTCAGCGTGAGAAAAAGATCGTTGTCGATTTTTTGTTTGACTTTTGTAGGCTGAGTTGCCACAACGCGGAATTTGCCAAGGGTGCGAGCATTTTTACCACAATTGAAAAGCCTTCCAATGTATTTGTTTCGTGCAAATAATTGCGTTCCAAGTAGTTTAGCTGATATTTTGATATATTTTTCATTTACCTTTGAACCAAAAGTCAAGCAGGGATCAAATTTTGGACTTTTTTCTGAAAAAAAAGAAATGATCTGCAAAAGTCTTGACTTCGTTCATTGACACTTTTAAAAAAGAAATCACTCGAAAGCAACTCCTGTTGTTTAATTTGAGCGCTCATTTTTTTCATATAATTTGGCAATGAAAGTTGCCAATCCGATTTGTAGTTGAAAAACTGCCTTGTCTACAGAAGTCAGTGTAATAGCAGAATAGTTCAAAACCTGAAGAATCCTAACTTGATTTGTTAATATAAAATTGTTTGCAAATGTAACCGAAAGGAACAGTTATAATTAATTCATTTATAGTACACTATTAATGCTTAAGAAGAATAAATTCAAGGCAAAAATAGAAGGATTTGCTTTCCGACCAAAACTTCTATGGTTAAACAACCGAGTGGCCATTCCTCAGATGGCGTGAACGTCATTTGAAATGTTCCACAGAACCTAACAGCGAGGTAAAAAAAATAAGTCTGCTTTTCATAGCTTTGGTTAGTTAATCGGTTGTTTTCCGGGCCGCGTTCTGCTCGATGACATTTCTGCTGTGTACTTCTCCGTTTTAACGCAATCACCGCTGGAGAAAATGCACGGAGAATAACAATAGATATAGAAGCAAATCGGACATCGAAATTTCTTCTTTTTTGAACTTTCTTCTTTTTTTTTCAACCTAAGTCGCAAATATTGTAGCGCTGCAATTGTTGCAACAAAATATATTCATTTTGAAAGTGTTCATTTTGATCCAGCTATTAAGTACAGCCAATGCTGAGGATATTAACACAGACTATTATTTTACAAATAGCACTTTAGTTTCAAGGAATCATGGATCTGTAGCGTAGAGGTAGGGAAGGAGACCTGCAGCAAAATAAGAGGGTTCGAACCTGGGCAGGGTCGGATGTTTTCAATGAACTTTTTCGTATACTAGTATAATTGCGTCCACTCGATAAATTGAAGCATGTTAGTTGGTAAATTTCTTTTTTCAAATTGACTGGTACTGCTAATGCGTCCTAATTGGCTTGCTTCACTTAGCAATTCTATAGACTCATAATTGGCGTGCGTCACTTATGAAATTTTGTAAACTCAATGTTTACTCATTCAAATTTTCCCAGTAGAGTTATCGGTCATATTTTTGCTTGTGTATGCGAAGTGTAACTTCGCCTCTGCGTTTAAAATAACAAGGTACGCTGCATTTTCCGCACTGTTTGTATTTTTGCTATCGAACTCAGTAGTTTAATATCAGTTGATCAAATGAAAATGCAGTTAAACTTTCAAAAAACAGAAGCCTCAACGCCAATTAATTGCATGTAAAGAGTTTTTAGTTCAAAAATAAGAGGTGGATGCTCTTATCTTTGAAAGTGTATTATAGTTTTAAGACTTGCCTTTGGAATAAAAAAATTAACTTAATGACCGAGTTTTCTATAATTGGATTAATTTTATTACTCTTGCGATCAGCTTAGTGTGATATTACGAACCTTCTTTTTTTCTAACCTAACTCGCAATTAAAATTGTTCATTAAAAGTTCATTTATTTGGAAATTTCAATGTAGCATTGAAAATTGCATAGCATCCGTTCTCTGATAACGTTTTGGCTAGTATTTCGTAGGAATTAAGCTTCCGTGGCTGAGTGGTTAGTGTGTGTGTCTTAAGAAAATTATGATACTTAAAAATATCAACGTGACGTATTTTTTCTTCGAAATATGAAATATGGCCGGTTACTGTGTAAATAGCAGAGAATGTTCAGACCATAGTCTTAAAAAATGTGTAGTGTGATAAGAAAAAGATCTGAACAAAAAAATAGAAATTAGGTATATTCGACAGTCGTAGTCAATTAGGCCAATTAGAAAACAGTTTTCATAGAAGATAACTAAAGAAAGGAAAAAATCATAAAATTTTTTTTTTAAGTTTCATAAATTTTTAAAAATTTTTCTTAAGAAAGTAACTTAGCTCTGGTAAAACTAAGTTTTCACGGCTTAAATAAGCAATATTAAGCATGCACGCTGGCCTTGTTAGTTCGAAATAAGGCCAAAATCAAAACTTTCAAACCGGTTTTTCTCGGCACAGAAAAAAATTTCTGAAATATTTAAATGTCGTTCGAATCACGACTTAAAGGGCTTTAATGTGATCCAAAGATAGCACTCGAACCATTTCGATGATTATTGGTGGTACCTGATTTTGCGTAGAAAACAAAAAGAAAAAAACTAAAACACCCTAATATAAAGTTCTTCCGCATTTTTCAAATAGTCGGAACAAAAATGATCAAAAAAAATTTTTGGTTGCCTTGTGCATAGAATCTTTTCCAACTTTCTGTTGGCTTTGTTGTGCAAGTTCATTCAGTGATTTTCTGCATAAATGTGCGAGTATTTTTTTTCTGCCTTGCTGTGGTAAAGTGATTGTTATCTCGCTTTGGGAATCTGGAGGCTCAGGTATGTTTTTGAGATATGCGATGACATTTTTGAATCACCAGATCGTTTTTCCTAGTGATTTTTTTGATCGTATGCAATGCTTGACTTCACTGTGTGTTGTACAAAAGGCATCATTGAAACTTCTTATACTTTAAAGGTCTTGCTCTGATAGTTAGTCACTAGATATCCGAAGAATGAAACAAAAATGGAATAAAAACATCTATTTCAACGATCGTTTCGATTTAAAAAATCAACAAATACCTCGTCGCATATTTATTAAAGAAGCGAGCTTGTGAGCATTATTATAATGCGATCCATTTTTTTCCAAACCAACACGAAAAAATGGCTCATTTTGTGATAATTTTAATGCATATCCTTACCAATATCATTGTCAGTTAAATAGCATGTGTTTATCCTTCCCGAATAGCAACCAAATAGCGTGTGTTGAGGGCTTGTGTATAACAGGCTGTAAAATGTTTTAGGGATCATCCGAGAATGTACGAGGCCATCAAAACGCGTGAGCCAAGATTGGAAAAATCGAGCGTGCAACTGACAGAGGAAGGCAAATCAGTTCTGAAACAGATGCTGAACAAAAACCCAAAGGAGCGTCTGGGCGCGAAAGACGATGTGAAACAACTGGAACAACACCCGTTTTTCAAGCCTCTTGACTTCGCGGCCTTGGAACACAAATTTATCAAGCCTCCATTTGAACCTAGAGTGAGAGGCGACGATGATGTGGCTAATATTGACAGGGAGTTTGTCCAGATACCAGTCGGGGAATCGGTGAAAGGGGAATCTAATTTGGAAGTTAACGTGACGTCTAGTGACAAAATTGACGCAAATAACTTTGTATCATTCACCTATTCCAGACCATTTGACGAGCATCTAAATTAAATTAAGATGTCTTCTGCTAATTTACAGCTACAAGAAAACAAACAACTTCTTATCAATCTATCGCCTTACTTTTATTAGTTCAATTTAAAGATTATTTATTGTACTCCAGATCTAGTTTTAGAAGCTTTATCAATTAAGTCAATGGTGCTCATCTTTTATCGGAATATATAAATTTGAGATTTAATTTATTAATGATTTAACTTAGACTCTATTCTGAATTTGAAACTGTATTTGGTGGAAAACTTGTTTAATCGAATTATTATTTTCGCTGTTTCGAAGTGTTAATGAACGAAATTCAATTTCAATGTCAAAAGGATTTAACGTGATATTTTTTCTCCAAAAATTGAAAGTTGTCAAAAAGTCCGTCATTATGCTTAGAAACATTCAAAAATTTTTTATAATTAATTCAAGTTTCTGTATGAACAATAGCTATCGTAAGTTAAATCTATTTTAGCTTAGTTACAGTCAATGTAGTTAATTTTTTCCCAGCTCGTATATCAGCTAAATTTTTTCAGTTATTTTTTAGTTGAACAACTATTACGGAGTAGGAAGGGACCACGTTGTAGACTATTTCACGTCGCTCTGATTCTATATAGACATTTACGCATTCAATTTTTGTGCTAAATTGTGTTCATTTTTAAGCGTCAATGAGCATAGTGAAAACTCTTATATAGGTCGCGACGATTTTTTCCAGTAAAAATATATAGGTCGTGGTGATTTTTTTGTGGAAACTCAAATTTACTTCTTCCGGGTTTGACTTTTGATTTCTTTTCAAGTTCATTTCAATTTTTTTTGTTCAAAGAAAGGCAAATTCCTCTATCAAGCCATGTAAAGATCACGAGAAACATGATCGACTTCTAATTTTGAAAATGGAAATTAACTATCAGATTTCCCAGCGAAATAACAGTTTCATCTATTGATCCAACTTTCTCAAATTGGGTTAATTTTAACAAAAAGATGTCCATCATAAATTGTTCTACAAATTCAAAGAGCTTTAAGGCCATCTATTTTTATCTTTGAAATTAAAAAGCTTGAGATTGTAGAAAAAAAATAAGTCATTGTTTCAATTTCATTGCGTTCATTACTCTTTGCAACTCAGTTGGCGATGTTTTCTGTTTACTGGCATTCATTGACTCTTTCCCAAATGTTTGTTGGTTGTGTTTTGCTGCTGCAGTCTCATTTTCTGTGGTGTCGCAAGTGATTCGAAGATTGGCTTCGACTCTGTGTATAATAACTTATATGAAGTTATATGGAATTTATATTCTATCTGGTTACCTTTACGATAACCAAGGGTATAGCAATCGGGCTCTAGACTTTTTCCCGGCCAATAACTTTAATCACATGACTCGTCTGTAGCGGACTTGTGGACTCATCTCTAGAGGAACCGTGTTTCATAATTTGATCAAAGTTTTCGGCCCACTTAGTCTGAAAGTAACGAATACGCCTGGGACTGCAAAGGTCCTGGATTCGTATCTAACCAAGAACTGTTTTTTTTTCGAAGGGAAATGTTCTATTTCAAATAAAATTGTCGATCAATTGCTTGTTTGCTTTTCTTTTGTCGGCTTAGTTGCCACATCTTGGAATCATTTTTTTTGCTGTGCACTTTTTTATGTTTCTTTTATTGCTCGAGTTAATCCTGCAATTTGCAATTTTACTTGCCTTTTTTGTTTTGCTTGATCATTCTATTTGGCACAAAATAGTTATGCCTATTTTTATCGCTTAGTGTCCTTTGGGTAGTTTCAAGGGAAACACAATTTTTACGCTCCCCTCCTCGTTATATTTTAACAACTCGGTTTAGTGAATAAAAAAATCTGATTACTAGGTTTCGGCTCATAATATATTGCCTTAAAGGCATATTTTCGAGTCGTTTGAGGAGCAAAAATATTTTCATCTAAACATTCTGATGGAGGATTTGAATTTTTTTTCGAGTTTTGAGTTTTTCTAAAAAAAACATTTTTGTTCCGCGCCAGTTAAGTCTACGAAAGAGTCGTCAGCTTCGTAAATTTTATTTCGATGTTCCTTTTACTCTCAATTGTTTTACTTTTTGATTTTTTTCTTGAAAGGAGTTTTTATTCAAGACAAAATAAAGATAAATGTAGGAAAGTTTTTGGTAGATTAATTTTCGATACTTTTTCTACGGATTTTATCTTCTTGTCAGTTTGTTTGTCATGCTATGTGTTTGTTGTATTGCAAGTAAAGCAAAATTTGCTTCACCTGTGTTTGTTAAGTTTTTAAATGTTTTTTAAAGTTTTTTGATGTATCGCTTCATCTGCAAGTAGTGATAGTCAATCATGCTTGTAGCGCATGTGGTTGGATTTGTCCCTTACTCGCAATTGAGCCTTTCGTCTTGTTGAATATGTCAGAACTCGGTGGGAACAGAGACAGATTGGCGGTTGTGAGGAACGAGATCTACAAACTAGTGGACGATTTGCGCTAGAGTATAGACAAGCTATCTGTCCAGTATGACAAGGTTTGTGTAAGAGTCGATGAGCGTAATTCAGACTTTGATATAGGTCTTGATGTTTTTTTTCAGGAGAAGTATTTTAATTTGTTCTGGCTAAAATTTACTATTTTGCGGTTAACTTTTTGATTTCTTTACACTTGCGAGTTCTTTTGAACTTGGCGTACAGGTAACGCCGTTGCCTTCTCACTCTGAGATCCGTGATTAGAATCATCGTCGGACCTTGTATTTTCTTCAGTATGTCTGCACTTGAAAAGTATGTATGTACCACCAGTTTTAGCTGCGCCCCTAGTTTTTTTATGGAAACTACGAAAATTTTGCTTCAGCTAGTTTTTATCTTTCAATTTCTTTCGGACTTTTTTTGCGTTGAATCGCAATTTTTGCTAGTCTCCCTTCGCCTCTGTGTTTTAGGTTCAATTTATTTCCTGTGTTAAAAGGCAGGCAAGCTTCACTACAGAACAGCAAAGGTCACGAAAAGAATTTCGAAAGAATTTTAATTTTCAGATTTCCCAGCGAAATAAATTTTTAACTATTGATCTAGTTTTCTCAAATTGGATTGTTTTTATCAAAAGTTTCAAGATAAATTGTTTTAGAAGTTCAAAGAGCTTTAAGGCCGTATATTTTTTCTGTGAATCAATAGTTGAGATTTTTTCAAAAACCATGTCAGTATTTTTTTTCTGTTTCCTTGCCTGCATTGACTCTTTTCCAATTGTCTGTTGGCCGTGTTTCCCTACTTTAGTCGCACTTTCCTTTGCAGTGTTTGGTTTTCTTAATGTTTTCCGAGCACTGGCAATAAAAAGCGTTGTGCACACTTCGTTAAATTTATATGTTATATGAAAAGACCAATTAGGCTTGGAATTAGGTAAATGTCATGTATGCTAAACCTCAAAAGAATTCTAAAAGTTGAGTGCGGCTATCTATCTTGGCTATCAGTATGCGTCGTGAGTTTGTAGGAATTGGTGCTCTCGTGGAAATGTAGTTGCCTTGAAAGCATCAAGTTGTGAGCACAGAATGTTCCGACCATAGTCTTAAACACACACAAAAAAGTTTTTTTTTTCAAGTTAGTGGCGTTGTTGCGGGGTGATAAAAGGATCTGAAAGAACTAGAAATTAGGCACGTTCGACAACCATAGTAAATTAGGCAAATCGAACAAAAGTTTTTGAAAAAGTTGACTAGAAAAACAAAAAAACATCAAAAGAAAAATTTCACAATTTTTTTTCATATTTTTTGAATTTTTGATTGGCAAAATGGCGTCAAAAATTTTGCTCTCGTAAAACTTAAGTTGAGCATAAATAAGTTATTGCAAACTGCTTAAGTTAAGCATAAACAAGCCTTCAATGCTCGGAACCCACATACTTTTTTTCCAATTTAAACTCTGAAGGCAATGAGACATGCGTAGTGAATGAAATTGTCCAGTTTTTGCATGGAAACTAAAATGCCTTTTCGGTTTTGGCTTCCACTGCTAAAATTGCACGCACGCTATCGATTGCACTCTTTATTAGTATGTTGGTCTATTGTTTTTTCTTTTCAGGCTTTTTTCTTCACTCATTGCTAGATTATCTACATGGTCCGATTTTTATTGTGCAGAAACTAATTTTTAATTATTTTGAATCTTCGAAGCTGTGGCAACCGTGTCGCGAAACCTCAAGAACAATTGAATTTCCTCCTTTTCACCCACGCCAAAAATATATATATATTTTTCAAACATTCTATGCAATAGAAAAAAGGAACTTGTTTCTCCTGTAAACCAATTAAATTTTTAACATAATTTACATTCGAGTTGAATCATCATCAATTTGATGAAATTGAAATTCAAGAGAGGATAGACAAAAGGCATGTAATATTCCTACTGGAAGCCTACCCTGAAGACAAGGCCAGCAAAACAATATGGAATGAATAATTTATCACAAATCAAATTTACATGTCTAGTTACTGTTTTGTTAACTTACACAGAAGGTTAGATCTAATTGCAACAATTTCCATAATATGTATATAAAAGAAAAAACCAAAAAAAAGACGAGCTCAATATTTTGAGATAAGATTCAGAGCTCTGAATGATTTCATATTAGGGTTTAGCTATGATTAGATTAAGGAAAAAGGTTTTATTCGCTTATGATTGTTTTTTTTTTTACTTTTTTTAAGATAGATACCCTTGCGATTATTAAGCATGTTGCAATCGAGTACTAGGCCTTTTACCCGTAAACAACTTTAGATTAAGATTAAGACGATTTATCCACGGGGAAAGGACCAACACAAGAGCTGTACAGCTCATCACGGCGAACCGCTGTTTTGCCCCTGTTTAAGAACTACATGCAATTTTTTTTTGGTTATTTTTCGCAGAATGGTCAATTTAGTTAGAATGATGAATTTCATTTCATGCTCATTTCGTCAAAATTCTAGAAACTACCATCATTTAAGTAGTAATAAGGTGACGCCCGTTTCAGGTAGTAATTATTTTTTAAAATTGAAAAAAGACAGTCAAAAAAGTTTTCTGAAAGAAATGTCATTTTTCCATTATCACTTTCTTTTTTTCAACGCTATATTTGAATCGGAAGTGTTGCAAAGCTCTTCTTCGCCTGTGTTAAATTAGGAAAAAATGTTAAAATGGCCATATCTCGAAAAGACAAGACTCAAAGTGTCTTATGCTACTTGTAAAACAACCGGCCATTTTTAATTTGTTTAGTTTTATGGCAATTTTAGATTAATATGTCAACATCAACGCCGAAGCTATCACTCTCAGTCGAGTTAGATGCGTCCGCAATTTGTCAGCTGTTAATGCACTACATGAAAGCCGAATCTCCGCAAATTTATGAAAAACAAAGTTCAGTTAAATCAACACCACAATGGATCAGTTCGTTCCCCATA